CAAACGGGGGAGTTCTGGATATAAAAGGATAGTAAAAACAAAATGAATAAAACATGGCCTGGCTACACCAAAGCAGGTCCTAGAACCTTCTATCATGCAAATCTTAAGAATAGACTGCAAACATTTACCAAGAGCAGAGCACATACACTTGAGTTCAGCTACAGAGATCATCACACTAGATCTCAGAACATCCCTTCCCAGCTTTACATGTTAAACCAGATGACAAGATTCATTAAGATAATTGCCTAAATGTCTTATCATAACTATACAAACAGAGACTTCTGTGAGAAGTCTGACTTTGTTCCACAGCCCAGTGTAACTAGACTGAAAGCTGGTTAATGACACAGTTGTATGTGACAAAGCAGCATGAAATAGGGAAGTTTCAGGGAGCTTCCAGAGGAACAAAACTAGACTTAACATTACTCCTAGACTTAATGTTACTTAATGTTACGTGCTCATTTACAACTGATCAAAGTCCCCACTGAAAAAAAAAGTAATGAATTTCTAGAATTACCTTATCCTTATTATTTTAACTAACCGGTGAAGGCCACTTCATAACATAGGTACACTTAAGCAAAAACTAATACACCAAATGAATCATCTCTACACGTCAACATGTACAGAAGACTCACTCTACTGGGAACTGCAACACCTACATGTATTTGAGGCCCATTAAACACAGATAAGATTGTAGCCCGTCCTGTTAAAGGCAGCAAACATGTTACAAAAGAGCATGATAAACAAAGCATGATAATTTTTACATGAAGAACCAGGCTACTCTGAGTTAGGATGGTAACTCTGGAAGGAAAAAAAAGAAAAAAAAAAGAAAAAATAATGTTGAGGGAGATTTGGTAAAGACCAGGTTGTAAGATCCAGGTAAACCCATGGTGGGAAGGTAGGAAATCAAAACCAGGAACTACCTGGCAAATCGAAACATTTGAAACATAACTTGATAACACACGTCAAGTTTTATCTGGAGGAAAGAAGAGGTAATAAAAAGACTCTTCTACAGCCAGGATATACAAAGAACAACTGGGTGAACTATGAATTCCAATCTTCCAATCAAGAGCAAATTTTTTATCAGCAAGATTAAACAAGATTAAACTCTAGACACTGGACTCCATGACACAGTCTTTGAAGCCTTTAGTGCAAAAACTGAAGGAGGGGTAAAAATGATAAGAGACAAAACCCATACAGAAGAAAACCAACCAACAGCACTGCGCTGCACATGCTGCCGACGTTTGCTGCAGATAAAACGCCACTTATTAGTAAAATACAACCACCTTTGATAACACAGCAGAGTGGATGCCCTAATACACCTTCATGGTCTTAATCATTTTAAGCATTGACATTAACATAAAGGCCAACAGACACACACACACACGAAAGTAGCCTGCATATTCCTATCTCCTTTGTGTCCCAAGGTCTATGAGCTACTGCCTCACTTCTCCATGTCGCAAGATTACAGACAAACACATAGATGTTAATCAGCCAGAATAGTAACCAAGTCATATGGCACAGAAAAGCAGCTCTGAAACAGTCACTTTGGGCAAACCCAATCAGTATCTTCGAGATTTGTCAGAGTCAGATGTTCCAGAGATCAAGCCCATCCACATGACAAAATGCCTTATAGGCTTCTTAAATAATAGTGCCTGTTAGGGAGGAAATAAAGTTTTTTTTTTAAAAAAAAAAAAAGAAAAAGAACACGAGTCTATTCCCTTAGAGGATCTAATTAAAAAAAGGAAGTTATATGAATGTTCTTAATGTTCTTCACACAATCCCTAGCACAGTTCCACATTAACCCTGGTTCTCCTTTCTCAGTAAACAGCTGTGTGCTGAATACCTTCAAGTACCTTGCACGCATTAAATAAATATGAGAAACAGGATGCTAGCCTGAAATGCAAGGCATGCACTCGAACAATCTCCCACCTTCCCCGATGGGTCACCACTTCTGAAACTCAGAGCACATGAATTTGACCACATAAAACAATGACTACCAACCAGAAAAAGTCACTTTGGGTATTCAAACAAGCATTACAGTACAAGCACAAACATCATAAATATGATGATTTGAGTCAAACTGACCCATTTGCTCCCACCACCTACCTTGTGAACTCAACCAAAAGCACACAGTGTTTAATAGACCCAAATAGGTCTATAGCATTCCATAGACTAAGTGACCTACATATCATAGACAGGCCTGATGAACTGATTTGTGAAGCACGCTCAAGAAGCGTGGATCTCAAACACTTCAGTGAAGCACCAAGAGCGAAGAGTGACATGGGAGAACAGACCCAACGAGGCAACATTTTTCTAGGCAAGAAAGGAGATCAAAAGGGATGATCTTCAGATAGGTAAGAGGTGTCACAATGAAGGCATCAGTAAATTCTCCACAAGCACCAAACTGCTGAATTTTACTTTAAATATTTAAAGTAAATATTTTAAAAAGTAAATATTTAAAGTAATTTTTTAAAAAGTTTGCTAGATATAAGGATAATTAAGCACTGGAACAAATAACCTACAGATTCAGTAGCACTACAAGTGATGCAGGTTTAGAGAACAGTCTAAGTATCTATCACAACTGATGCAGGCAGTTGGTCAGGCATTGAAGGCTTCTAGCCTTATTTCCTGAAATTTTAGTAGTTTGTGCAACTAAAGGTAGATTATTTTGCATTTCATCATATACATTTAACAGTGAGGCTTGCTTTTCCCCATCCACCATTAAATATCAATAATTTCATTAACCGATTTAAGATCTTCTGCACCTTTTTCACTGCTCACATGAACAAGCTTCCCAGGTACATGCTTAAGACACAGACTTTACCAACATAACTGCTTAGAGGTTTTTGTAAGACACAATTCTTTTTTTCTGCTGATTAATTTCAAATAGTTGACTCCTTTAGGTTGTGAGGACAGTTCAAGCGGGTCAGGGTCATGACTTTGCAGGCTTGAGCTCTGTCTCCAAAAGTCGCTCCCTTGCATCCAAGTCAAAACCATGTATTCCTCCCTGGATGCCAAAAGACCTCACTCTCCTTCATAACAGTCAAAACCTTCTACAGTGACCACATGCATACAGCAACACGGCCTTCCCAGCACACAACCACACAGGACAATTCATCCAGCTTTGTACTGGATCTGTGAACTAGCTTGCCACACACATGGAAATAAATGCAGAAAGATCATTTTTCATTTTCAGACAAAGGGTCAGAACTATTCCAGTTTCCCTCACAAATTCAGTTGCAGAAGGCAGATTTAACAGAAAAGAGTGAAGGAATTTTCTAAGAACTTGAGTATTTAGTACTGGCTTTGAAGCAGAAAATATAATCTAAACTAAAAAAAAGTTTTTTAGTCCAACTGCTGCTCTGCACAAGCATTCTACAATAAATACTATCTTTTTCCTAATATGGTATTTATTTTTCAGAGTATGATGTTTATCTCCTTGACAATTACTTACAGTTCCACCAGTCCTTATTGATTTTGCAACATTCGCTTCCCAGCAAGGAGTTTAAAGGTTTGGAGTCATGGGTGGAAATTGCTCATTTACATAAATATGGTTTTGCTTAATCAAAGAACAGAGTGTTTTTCACTAGCTTTTGAAAATTAGAACAGACACTAGTCAGCCAACTGCTTCTAATTAGACTGCTAATATAGTTTGACAAAACTCAATGTTTTCTAAATTAGTTTCAAAAACACTTAGTGTTTAGGGAGTTTCAAATCAGTGATGATGCCAAAAAAAGATTATGCTGAGTAACCCATAAGGCTTAATTTGTATATGAATAAAGGTGCACTAAAAATGCTAAGACATCCTTCACAGCACGCAACAATACACAAAAAATCCAAAGCAACATGAAGTATTTCTAAGCTATAAGATATTCCCATTCATAATTTAAGATAATTTCCATCCATTGTGAAAGATGCTGATACTAAACAAGGGAGTTTCCACAGAAGAGGGTGGAGGGAGAAATCACTGAAGGCAATTGTCAATCATATGACAAAAAAGAGCAATAACAACGACAACCTGAGGGCTGTCCAAGTACTTCTGGCCAAAATACTTGAGCTAATCTAAAAACTGCTATTTGCAGAACCACAGATAAATACAAACTTGAAAAAGCCTTCTCTCCAAATTAGCACAGGTATCAAAAAACACATCACCAGAGGTTTCTCCCCTCCTGTAAAGATGCTTAAACAGAAAGTTTAGAGCTATCCTGAATTTGACTGTTTAGTTGGAAGCCTTCAGATTAGACTGAACTTTATCAGTGTCAAACCATGAGGCTCTTTCCTGGAAGCTCATCAAGGCTCCTGCATGAAATCTGATGATCAGCACAGTAGGATTAGTCAGAGGCGGCCAGGCTGATATCCTAGCAGAACAGAAACCTACTTAAATGAGAAGCCTGGAACTGCATCTAAGACAGAATCACAATAAATTCTCATCCCTCTGCACCAAAGCTGATACCTCACTTGTAATGGATGCAAAAGAAAAGACTGCCAACCCTCGTTGTCCTGCAAAAGGATCTGTGCTTGTTTCTGGAGAGACAGACACAAGGTAACCAGACTATTAACATCACTTGAGGGTAATGCCACCCATGGCAGATTGACACTGTGTGATGTCTAGTTCAGTTCTGCTGAAAGGACAGAACAGGGGACGTTCTTAGAGGAAGCAGACTTATTTATACATAGAACAATTAATCTGATATCAAGGATTTCTCTCATTCAATACATGTTCTCAACAGATGTTTACCTTTGTTTGCCACCACTTGACTAAACCAGCACTGTCTTAATGTAAGAGATGCTTATTAAAATAATTACTGGGATTGCTAGAAGTTTATCTTTGCTCAACTGCTTCCTCCCCCCCAACACATACATGCAGTTTTATTAATGAGTTGATTTGTACCAAGTCTTCACATCCCAAATAAAATTCTTACCTGCCCATTTCAAAGATAAAAACACTCATATTTGCAAAATTAAACTTTACATATCTAAAGGGGGAAAGAAACACACACCTTGAACACTTCAGAGAAGAAACCAGAGCCAATTTTCTCACAGGTGAAGTCATCAAGACGGGTAAGTCTGGAAAAGGCACTTATCAGGGCTCGGTATGAAGAGGTCCAAACTCTTCCTATCTGGGATGTAGTCCCATCACTTCCGCTGCCCCCATCAAAGTCTTCGGCGCGCTCCAAGCGTGGTGGAAATCCTGCTATTGAATTCCGCTTACTTCGGTCCATTTTGAAAACAAAGCTTCCTTTTGATAAGAGAGGACTTCTCACATCTTAGGTACTTTGCTGTCTTCTCTGCTCTTGTTGGATACTAAAATACAAGAAATGGAGATTATGATTATTGTAAACTCAACTTGCACCAGTTTATAAACAAACAGAAGACATGCAGGTAGGGGCACAAGGAACAAATCATTATCACAAAAAGGATGGGCCAGATGACTTAGACTGTTATTCTTCAGATTCTAGGAAATCCCTTATGCTCTTGTTACTAATAGATAAATACATTGGAGCTCAACATTAAGTGATAACAAGAGAACCTTCATCCCTCCCCCTTGTCTTTTTTTTTTTTTTTAGCAAGCATTAGCTGCTAAAGCAGACAGCTAGGCAAGAGGAAACCCACAGAACATGCTATGTTCTATTTTACTGCAGCAGCAGCCAGTGACCAATCTACAGCTACCACAAGATGCCATTTCATGTTAGGAACTGAACAAAGGAACCCCAAATATCAAAAGGGATCAACTTTCAGTTTGACTTGTGCAGAATTACAGGCTGCCAGCAATGGTAGTCGGTACACCAACAACTTTGTTTTTTAAAGCTTCCACATATGAGTGTTTCAAGACCAGTTTCTTAACTGGTAGAAACATAAGCTTATATCCACTCAAGAGCTATGTCCCAATTTTGTTAAAACATCCACAATCCTGCTAAAGAAACAAGTACAAGTTCTTGTAAGGAACTGCTAGAACAATTCTCCCCCCCTCTACCCTGCACGCAGTTTGTAAAGCCATATTAATGTCAGTTCAACTGAAAACACAGGAAATAAGCTATATTTGCCAAGTAGGAAGAAAAAACAGCAAGGGATTTTATTTTCTTTTTAAGAGGATGAAGTAATCAGGATGACTCTGGAGCCCATCAAATCCGACTTGGACTGGCAAACCTGACAGGTGGCCTACTTTTTTTTTTTCCCTTTAAATTTTAGGCTCAGGAGGTTATTCATCATCACACACTTGGCTGTTCACTTGCAGCAATTCAGTGAGCCCCTCAAACGTGAGAAAAGGAAACAGTCACACAGATCTTTATTCTTTTGACATGATGAGGAGGCAAACAACAGAAAAGTAGTTGGTTTTTTTCTTTACAATGGACAAGATAGTTATGAAGCATGGAGCAGAACGGACAATAATCCCTCTATTTACACAGATGTGCAAAACCATGAGCACTGCCCCTCTTAATTTGAAGAGCATCTCAAAACTGCGGCTCGCCAGCTGCCCCCTGCCCACACAGCAGTGCTGCAGGACACATGTTTTGGGAGCAGGGCATCCGAGATGCTCTGTGCCAACGCTCCAGGAAAAGATGCAGTCCTTCCCTGCCTTCAGAGGGAAACCCTGGAGAGCTGGGTAGAATCCATTTGAGATTGTGCTCTCCGTAAAACAAAAATAAAAAGGGCATTCTTTTCAACTCAGCAAGTTTTACAATAATCTATTTCAAGCATCTTAAAACTTACTTCTCCAAATGAGCTTCTAGGGGAGGCAGCGAAGGGAGTAAGAGTCTTAGCAGCATCTAAGAGCATTTAGTCTCTCACCAAGCCCCACAGCGTGGGGTTCCTGCAGCCCTTCTCTGCCTGCTCCCCCAGGGGTGAGCTTGCTGCCCTTCTCAGATGATACTCCTGCATAACCTAAAGCCACCACATGCCCGACTGCCACGCAGCAGATCGGCATCTACATCCTCTGGTCTCATTCTTGCCCCAGGAGCCCTGCAGGCCCAGAACTGGTACAGAAGCAACGTGGGCAGAGAAGGACTTTTCTGTCTCCCTCGGTGAGAAGATGAAGCCCAGAGAACCTCCTCAGCCATGGGGACGAAGCTCTGGAATTTCTAAGGCACCTTTAATAATTCCTTTTGATCTAAAAGGAGCATACGCAGTTTAAAAGAAAAAAATACACACACTGTTGATGGAGTCCAAAGAGGAAACCATGGTGTTAATAATTCATTTCCTGGAATAGAAGATTTGGAGTTAGAGTAAAAAAGGATGTAATTGGAGGAGAAAAAAAAAAAAAAAAAAAGAAACACTAAGCTTTAGAACTTAATTCACAGTAGTACCTGCACGCACAAGGCACTCTAAGGCAGGCATTAAGCTTTTGCCCCTAAAAATGCAGGATTCACCCTAGGACTGCAGTGATTCCATATGAAATGGACCAGGAAACTTGTAGACACCCCCACTACTTCTACTGCAACAACACATCCGCTCTGCAGGCAGCAAACCAAAGCTACTGCGAATCAGGACTATAAATTCTATAAATTTTAGTACTCAGACAAAGCAAGACACATACAAAAGCAACAGGAGAGCATTACTGTTTGCCAAATGGAGGAAAACCTCAAGTTAGGTAAGTGATATTAAAGCAGAGGGGAAAAAAGCATCCAGACACCACTAAAGAAGATCAGAGTTTCAATACAATCACTCAAACTCCATGGAGATTTTATACATATATATATATATATATGTATAAAAAGAAGTTTTAAAAGCTCTGCATATATATATATATCTCCTTTAGATTGAAATCACATGGTGAACTTTGCCTAAGTCTTCACAAATCCCACAATGAAAGAAGAGATTCGAAGTGCTTCGCACAACATAAACCCCCAAAGGTTTTGCCATCTGGATTCCCAAGTAACCCATTCCTCCGTTTTTGCCTGCTAAAGCTTGCTCGTTTCCAGACAGCCACACAAAATCCTTGGAAATTATTAGGAGAGAGCTCCGTTTGTCCAGCTCACAGTCCAGGACTGCATGTGCAGAATCAGAGGAAAATTTCAAGCGGGCACAACTCCAAGGGGGCCTCCTGTCATTTTAGCCAATTACACTAATGATCACATTCTCAATGAAATCAGCCGTGGCTTAATTGACTGTCAAGTCAGTCCGAGGTACTTTAATTTACCACCTCATCTGGTTAATTAAAGTGCACTGAACAGAATCCAAGTCTGCTGCAGACATACAGGTTGTTGGGTTTCTTCCCTCGCTTCCCCCTGTCCCCCCTCCGTATTAAACTTCAGCTTAAAGACTCTTAAGCTGGGCTTAACCACCAACTAAAAGGCACTGAGAACTGTTTCCCAATACAGCCTCAGCTTTTAGACCACTTTCTCCAATATCCTTTACACACAGACACCAAAATCCCACCCTACTAAGCCAAAATCTTCTAGAAATGCATCTTCGAGATGCCATACGTGCCCTGCCTCCTACATTAGTACTACACTATTCAAAGCAAGTCCTACTCACTGCAAGTACCCACTTAAAAGTGCAATTTTAGAACTTCATTCAAGTGCAGTTTTTCCTACTTGGTTTTATTTTCTTCATTTACAAACAAACCTGGAGGGAGGGCAGGGAGAAGAACTGAATAAACAGAATGCCTTGTGGGGTTTTCTGTTTGTTATTGTTTGGGGGGAGATTACTATAAATACAAGTCTGTCATCAGCAGGGAGGAGACTTAGTTATTTAATTTTTCTAAAATGATGCCTACACCTGAAAATATTGAAAGATGGAAAATGCATAATCAAGTTATATCCCACTCACCAAGGCAAAGCTAGGAAGATATACTAGCCAGTACTCAACATTTCTATATTCTTTATGGGTTTAAAAAAGGAAAACAGGGTCAGGCGTTCTTTCTTTGTCCCGGAGCACAGAACAAGATCCTTTCCCTACATTACTAAAACTATTCTTTCCCCAGTATCTTCATAGTATGTGCATATTTGCACTCAAAAGTCAAACTCTCCATTTCCTTGAAGACAGCTTTAACAACAACCACCATTTTTAGACACAAAACTGTCGCTAGGCGTTCAGCCTGGAAAGTAGCAAATCTGGTGGATGCATGTTATTAATTTGAAAAGTTTTTCGAAAGAACAAGATGCCAGAGCTTTGACATAAGACATTTGCCAAGAGTTAACTGTTTAAACTCACAGCCTGGTGTAGTCTAAAACTTTGTGCTACAAAAACCCAGAGGAACCTCAGTGGCAGGTGCCACTCAAAGCTATAACCACCACAAACAGTGATCACTGCAGCAGCATGTGCACAGCTCAAAGAAACTTCAAATGGATGTAAAGAAAAATCACCCAAGGACTGAAATGACTTTGAAGCAATTATTTTGGAGGGGAATGGAATGGGAGTTTGGAGTTGAAACACAAGAAATCACCCCAAACAGGTAACGAGAACCAGGTGCTCCACGATTTTGTTCTCCACTGCTACTGTCAACCTTCCTAGCCAAAGCAAGTGGCTGTTGTCTGCAGCTTGGCTCGCAGCCTGCAGGAGGAGGACCCCACCGCATGCCCGCGCGCACAGGGCAGCTGCAAGCACCAAAGCTGGCGCTTTGCTCGGCGCAGACCCCGCTGCGGCCGTGCTGCCTGCGGCGCAGCAAGCCCTCAACCCCAGCCGAGTCTTAGCTACCACACTCAAAAGGTGGAAAAATAAATCTTTTCACTTAGGCAGCAGATAATTCCAGGCTCTGGTCACAGGGTTAAATTCCCATAGGCAGGAATAATGTTCCTGCTAAGGGCCTTGCTGCTGCAGCGCAGCCCCTGGGAGCTTTGCTAACCTGCACAGTTAACTCGGCACCGCCAGCGTGAGCAAAGCTCCCCGAGAAGCACTGCTGAAACAAACAACTCATTGATTGTGCAAACGAGGCCGAGTTTGATCCCAGGAGCAGCGTGAGCCCACTGGCCATTATGCTGCAGAGCAGCAGATGCAGGGCTGAGATTGGAGGTTTGCACCCACACTTGATACGGGCGCTTTTAAAGCCTGGCACGTGCCTGCAAGGCAAAATAACCTGACCCGCATCTGATCTTTATTCCAACAGTATCATTGCCAACAATTTCTAAGGTTCAAATACAACACAAAATTGAGCCTAAAAAAAAGCGCCTACAAAAATCCATTTGTTCCCTAACCTGCTTGTAGTGATTTCAATCCATAAGGCTGCAATAAGGCTTTGTTACCAGGCTAAAGTCAAATAAACTGAAGTAAGTCATGAACAACAAACAGCTGCTGCTTCAATTGGTAATTTATACATCCACTGTGTTTGGCTGCCAAAATAAGAAATTTGCAAGC